GCCTTTGTTTCTTTGTTTGTTTTGAATACGCGCCCTCTAGCGGCGAAAATTACATATTGTGCCTTTAAGTGAAAACGATAATGACAACTGAGTCGTCAAAGATGTTTGATGTGAAATGTAAAAGCTTTAGGCCAGGCAGTTTCCGAATAAATGAACACAGAAAGTCTCTCCCTCTAACGGTCATCTGTGGTCAGGAAAGCAAACAGCAGCATCACGTCATCAATCTTTATAAACAGAAACCAAAGTTGTAATCAGTATTATTGCATCCCACAATGCAGCACGCCGAAGGGAGGTCGGTTTTGGTCACAAATATATAAATAAATAAATATAGATTGCATAGAAAATATACATTTTCATACTGCTATTTTCAAAAGTGACAAACCCAAATTATATTCTTAATATACAGCTAGCTCCTTTGAATGGCCATTAATGGAGAAATTATATATATATATATATTTTTTTTTTTTTTTTGGACACTGTAACATCAATTGTAAACATGTTAATCTATAATCTTTCTATTGAAACAATGTGCACAATCCACAGGTACTTATTTACATTCATGCATTAATTAATTTCCATTTCATTAGAGTTTTTTTTTTCCAGTTCATGCATTCTCTGGAATTCAAACCCTTGCTGTTTCTAGCATGCATACTGTGTATGTGTGCACTAAATGTGATATTGTGTACTTCTGATCCAGCAGCATTTCAGACTCCAGGGAAGCATCTCAAGGCCGAGGCCCGTCAGTCGCCAGATCTCTGCGGGTGAGCTCAAATTAGGGCACTACCTAAACAAATCAGGAGGTTTTTCTAACACGATAAGCTATTCTTTCACATGTATGCAGAGTTTCAAAGGTGAACTATTGATCGTGATGAGTAAACCAAGCCAACTTCATCACACCCGCTAATCTAATCAGAGGATTGACAGAGAACACAGTTAACCCCAAAATAAACGCAGTGCAAACACAGCTTTCATACTTCAGCCGCTGATAGAGACACACAAGCGCTTGCTGACTCTTTTGTCTTTACATGAGCTTCGAATGAATCGATTCGAACGTATTACTACGCGTGTTTTCGGCTTCTTGAATATTAATTAGGCGACGACCTGTTGACCTATCCGATTGGCTGGTAAAATACGCGTTGTTATGAATATTAATGACCTATGATGAGCTGAAATGTGACCCTGGAGCACAAAACCAGTCATAAGGGTAAATTTTTTTAATTGAGTTTTATACATAATCTGGAAGCTGAATAAATATTTCCATTTGAAGTATAGTTTGTTAGGATAGGACAATATTTGAAAATCTGGAATCTGAGGGTGCAAAAAAATCTAAATATTGAGAAAATCATCTTTAAAGTTGTTCAAATTAAGTTCTTAGCAATGCATATTACCAATCAAAAATTCAGTTTTGATATATTTACAGTAGGAAATGTACAAAATATCTTCATGGAACATGATCTTTACTTAATATCCTAATGATTTTTGGCATAAAAGAGAAATGTATAATTTTGACCCATACAATGTATTGTTGGCTATTGCTACAAATATACCCCAGCGACTTAAGACTGCTTTTGTGCTGCAGGGACACATATCAATAGTCATAGTGCAGCTGGTCACGCGGAGATGGGGAGGGAGTTTAATGTTCAGACACAGGAAGCAGTAAAAGTCGGACAGGAAGTGGAGAGAATGACACATAGCGACCATGACAGTCTGTGAGCGCATGACTCATGCATGTGTGTGTTTGTATTGGTTTTAAATCAACAGCTGTATACAGAGCATACATTGTAGACCACAAAAAAGCCAGGAGGTAAAATCCAGGGGTTTGTACATAGCCAAACATAAGACCAGGCCAAACAAACAAGTAAATAAAAAAAAAAAAAGTACATAAAATACCCATCATTGTTGATTTATATCAAAATATAACTATTATTGTATAAATCAGAGTATCACTAACAAAACAAAAAAAAACTATGTGTAATATTATGGTATTTTCTGAATGACCTTAGAGTAGCATGCCAACATCATGATCTGTAAATATGGCCATGACCATTACATTTAACCATCTGACATGCCAGTTATGTCTGTGAAGGCTTGTGTGTGTGTGTGTGTG